TGACGTGGGCAATAGGCCAATAGTCAGCTGCTTCGTAGGGCTATGTGAACCAATCAAATCTTACCAGCAGGGACCAAAAGCTATACAGGAAACAAGGCTCGAGGCATAAACTCCAAAAGAAGGGGCAAGGCTGAGGAGCAGGGCGCCCGCGCCCGACACAGGTCCTCATCTTGAGAATCACTTTCTGGCCCCAGAGGGCAAGATGGTGCCCTGCTCAGCCTCATGGAGAAGCCTGTTGCACTGGCTTTCCTGATGGGAACCCAGCTTTCCTCATCACCAGAGGAGCCTGGGACCTCACTGTTGCTAAGGGTGGCTGTGGTACCTTTGGGGGAGCTCTGGTGCTTACCTTGAGCGTTGCTTCCTAGCTCCCGTTCAGACCCTTCAGCCTGCTAGCACAGATCCTTTATTCCGCTAACATAGATTTCCTAGCTTCCGGCACTTACCATTAGGCCTTTCTGGCACTGATCCATAAAGTAGGATCCAGGTAGATTTTTCAGTATTTACCATGTGGATAGATTTCCTGCACTTGTTGTACATGATTCTTAGGTGATTCCTTATAAACTAACAATACAAAATGTGTCCTGTAATTACATTGTTCCCCTTGCAAAAACCCCAAGCCAGGTTCAATCCCCGGGATGCACTGAGACAGCGATTGAGACTGGACATGGTGTTCGTGCCTGTAATCCCAGCACTTGGGAGGCTAAAAACAGGAGTATCACTACAAGTCCGATCTGTGTAGTGAGACTCTGTAGGTCCTGTACTAAATAAATTTAAAAAACCCAAACCACAACAGTACTATTGATAGTAATACTTAAATGATACTATAAATTATAATTAAATGCTTGTAAATACCTAGGCAGGTGCCTTTAGACAAGAGGTAAACAGTTATCTATACAAACAGATAAATGTGGGGCTGGGTGGATGGCTCAGTAGAATAAGCACTTGCTCTGGCAAGCGCAAGGGCCTGAGTTCCATCCCTGGTTCCGCCAAAGAAAATAAATAAATGAACAGATAAATGCGAAATCTATTGCCAAATGACAAGAGTACAGACACAACACATAACATGCATACTTGATAATAAATGGACATTGTTGTGAGTCTTCCATGACTCTTCATAATTCAGCATGCTGTGCATTGTAACAAACATACTTAATACAGTTGTGCCAAATAAAGAGATGTTTTCTGAATATTGGTGCCTGCCATTTTTCATTGCTTTTGTGTGGCCCTTCATTGTGGACCATCATCACTTCTGTTGCCAGTCCTGCCTTGTAGATCTTCAGTTAACACTTGATGTCATGGAAACTCCGTGAAGCACAGCCTCCAAGAGGTCGTGACTCCGGTGAAGAATTCTTGGAAGTAAGTCACTGGCGGCTGCAACCTGCTCATGGCCCATCTAACTCCTTCATAACTGGCACATAAAATATATAGCTGACCTCCTTTCATCTCACAGATACTAAGAACACCTAAAATCATATTGAACATAAAAATCTACGAAAGCAGCAGAAAAGCTAGGTACGGTGGCCGGCACACACCTGTAATCCCAGCACTCTGAGAGACTGAGGCTTGTATAAAAAATGGGTTGAGGATGTAGCTCAGTGTAAAGGTCTTGGGTGTCCGATGGGGGGTGGGGTCCAGAGGATAGAAACAATTATTTCAATCCTCGAATTTATAAACTTAAATGTTTCATTTTTAAAAATTGTTATTCATTATTTAGATGTCTCACTTTTAGAAAGCGTTACCAAATTGTTAATACAATTGTAGGGGCTGGAGAGATGGCTCAGTGGTCTAAAGCACCTACTTGAAACAAGCTTGGCAAAGCACAGGGACCGCGGTTCGATCCCCAGCACCACATGCCAGCCAGACCCGCCCCCTGGTGGGCTGAGCTGGCCACACACACACACAATAAATAAATGTAATAAAAAAAAAATTAGAAAAAAAAATACAATTGTAAATGTTTATGTGGCACAGGGCATCACCTGTATTCCATGCCTGTACCCTGATAGGCTTTTCGGCAGTAAAGAGATAGAAAAGACAAAAGAAGCCTTTATTAACTCCAAAGACATGGAGGGGATCGAGGGCAGATGGGGGTGGATAGATCCTCTGACCTGAGACAAGGAGGCTTTCAGGGCCTTTTGCCAAGGGTAGAATTTGAGAGGAGTTGGTGTAGAAATATCTGAGGAGCTGACTGGGGTCTTGCCTGTGGTGGTGGGAAAGGTGAGAGGAAATGGCACCCTGAGCTGAGTTGGAGAAGGGGGAAGGTGGTCTCTAGGAAGAGAAGCTGTTTTTTTTGTTTGTTTGTTTGTTTGTTTGTTTAAGAATTATTTATTCATTCATTCATTCATTTTGTGTGTGTGGCCAGCTCAGCCCACCAGGGGGCGGGGCTGTCTGGCATGTGGTGCTGGGGGATTGAACCGCGGTCCCTGTGCTTTACTAAGCTTGTTTTAAATAGGTGCTTTAGACCACTGAGCCATCTCACCAGCCCGAAGCTGTTGTTTTAAGGGCTTCAGCCATATTAGATGATCACCATAATAATGTAGCAATTTATACTAGGGCTAGACCCTATCATATACTATGTCTAATGATCCCATCGGGATACACAATACATCAAACACCTAATTTACTATTTGTCTTGAGAACATTCAAAATCTCACAATTAATGTACTCAACCATTGCTACATCACTGCACAACGGACTACTACAAGTTATTCCTACCTAACTGGACCCAAAGTTTCAATGTTCATTAGTGAAAGTGCCTTTTACTTACAAAAACCTCGTTCAACTCAACCGGAAGAAGAGGACCCTAAAGAATAGGGGGAAACCTGGAACTTCCGGCGCTCCTGTCGCAGTTCACGTGGGGAAAGCAAAAGCAGAGCACCCTTCCTGCTCACGATTGAGGTTCTCTTAGCGGCGATTGGACGGAGTCTGCCGCTGATCGCTAAGCGCATGCGCGCGGCCAATAAGAGGCGGGATGGGGCGGGGCCTGCGCGCATTGTGACACGCGTGGGCGGTGCTCCGTGTGTTTTGCGGTTGCGCAGTAGAACGCGGAGGTGAGCGAGGTTTCGAGATTTGTCTGTGTGAGATGCAAGGGCGCAAAGGCCTCTAGGCCGGTGGTGTCTCCTGATCTCAAGGTGGCTGGGGCTGAGAATCATCCCAATCTTCCCCATGCACAGCGGGGTGGGCTCAGTATGTCGGGCCCTGAAAGTAGCCCCACGTGAAGGGCGCCGGCCCTGGGTCTAGTGCGCTGCGAGTTAACCCGGGTGTGCAATCTTGGCGAGGCCCCCTTGCTGCCTGGGAGGGATTAGGAACACAGTCAGTCAGCGTCGACTTGCATTACTGAGCACCTTATAGGTCGAAGCTTCAGAGCATTCCTGTGAGTGGCCCCATTTTGCCAACGGGGCAACCAAGGCTGAGATTAATACTGCTGCTTTGTCAATGCTGTTAAAGATGGAGGTTGGGTCCTGAAGGCAAAAGGGACAGAAAATGATGATTCTAGAAAGATAACAGAAGCTATTTCTGAAACTCTGCGATTTTGGTGACAAAATTAATTTGGCGATTAATAACCATCAGAAGTTAAATTTTTTTCCAGGTGATCAGAGCCATAGAATGTCAGCAGTTCGTTCATCCGTGCATGCCAAATGGATCGTGGGGAAGGTGATTGGTACAGCAATGAAAAAAACTGCTAAAGTGAGAGTGACCAGACTTGTTCTGGATCCCTACTTATTAAAG